TCCCACTCCCTGCCAGGAGCAGGATGAGGCCAGGAGAAAGACAAAGAGAGGGAGGGAGAGAGAGAGAGAGAGAGAGAGAGAAGAGGCGAATGATGAGTGTGCACCCCAAGTTCCCACGGTGCACCCCATCCCTTACCAGCACAGTTCTGCACAGGGACCCCTCCCCACCCAGCCCTTCTGCAGAGGTGTGCTCAGGGCACCCAGGCTGCCCACCCCCTCCTCAGGGCAAGGACCAAGCTGGTGCTGCTGTGGCCTGGCCTGCACCCGCCTGGCCAGGGCAGGCAGGAACAGCCAGGGACACAGAGCATAGGTGAGACAGGGTGGCAGCAAGAGGGGCCATACGGCTTCATGTTGAAGAAGTCCTTGATGCCCTCAGGGCTGACAGGGCTCTTGCTCTTGTTCTTCTCAGCAACAGACTTCTCCTTGGTCCAGGTGAGATGCACCTTCTCAGGGGCTGCCTCCACCTCATCACCAGGGGACTGGGAGCTGCTGGAGAAGGTGGTGGCGTTCTTGTCATGGATTAGCTGGACCTGCAGGGAGGAGAGGGGCACGGTGGGCAGGGGGTAGGGCCAGCCACCTGCCTGACCCTGTCTCAGTGCAGCTCCTCACCTCCTCCTCTGGCTTCTCCTCGCCATCACCAGCTGGCTCCTCAGGGACGTCCAGGCGCAGGCGCGTGTTGGCTGGGTTCTTGCGCCGGATGGAGCCACGGGACTCATCTGTGATGCTCTGGATCTGTGTGGGACAGGGTCAGCCAGGGGAGTAGGGCAGAAGAGGGCTTGATCAGACAGGGCCCAGCCTGAAGCCCAGCCTGAAGCCCAGCTCTCCAGCAGGACAAGTGCACAGAGCTGTGGGACAGCCACTTCAGCAGCAGAGCCACCACAGGAGTCAGAGCCCACCCAGCCTGTCCTGCAGTCTCACCTCCCGCTCCCGCTCATTCTTGGTGAGGTGCATTTGCTTGAGGATCTGGGAACGCTGCTCCATCACCAGTGTCTTCTCATAGGTGTAGGCAGAGATGTCACTTTCATGCTGTGGGGGGAACAGGAGAAATGTGGGTCAGGGTGAGCTGCACCGACTGCTCCCAGGGTGGTCCAGCATGTCCCCATGGTGCTTCATCCTCCCATGCTGCTGTGTCCCAATGTGGTGCTGTGAGTCCCTGTGGCAGAGTCTGTCTGGCTCTCCTGTGCCCATCATCCCTGACTGCAGCACATGCCCCATCCCAGAACTCACCATCTCCACCACCTCCACCTCTGCGGTAATGCGCAGGTGGTACAAGAACATGGTCAGGTCCTTCTTCATCTGGATGCTGTTGTCATCCATCTGTGCCACCGTGAAGATGCGCATCTTGCACTTGCGCCAGACCTGCAAGGGAGGGAGGAGGCATGGGCATGGCTTGATGGGGTTAGCCACAGCCACAGCCTTGGCCCTGCACCACGGGGCTCAGCCTACCTTGTGCTGCCGCAGGAGGAAGGGCAGCAGCATCAGCATTCCCCCATCATGGACAATCCACCAGACATCGATGTGGCCCTCTGAGAACCTCTCCTGGTTGCCCGGGAACATGGCAACGTTCTTGGCCACCAGCAAGGCCAGGTGCCCAGCCGTGGTCTCTCGCACCAGCTCTGGGAGGGGAAGGACCATGTCAGCCAGGGCAGCTCGCAGAACCCCAGCCCGGCAGTGCCCACCCTCTGCAGTGCCTACCGATGAAGTTCCTCCAGGTCTGGTGGTCCTCCTTCTGGCGCCAGCTGCGGGGCCAGCCCACCAGCACTGTGTTGTGCTGCAGCCCCCCCAGCCCACTGGACTGGATCAGGTGGGACATGCCATCTCGCAGGTTGGAGGAGATCACCACCTGGCAAAAGCCCTTCACCTTCTCTGCTTCCATCAGGCGGCGGATGGACTGCGAGGGAGAGGGAGGTCAGAGAACCCAGGGCCCGGGGGCAGGCATGGGCCACAGGCACTGCGGCCACCAGCCCCAGCAGTGGCACCTGGACAGGTGAGGTGGAGAGTGTGGTATACAGGGTGTGGGATACAGGGTGCAGACTGCGGGGTACAAGAAACAGAGCATGGGGTGGAGGGTGCAGGATGTGTGTGGGGTGCAGGCTGTGGGGTGCAGGGTGCAAGCTGTGGGGTGCAGGTCCCCGTGTCTCCGTACCCAACAGCGGCCAGTGGGCCAGGGGGGTGATGCCCAGCGGTGCACAGAGCTGGCACGCGGCTCTGCGCCGTGCAGAGCAGAGGGTGTCCCTGTGCCAGAGCTCTGACGGGCGGTGGAGCAGCAATTAGAGTTATTTACTCAGAGAAATTATAACATGTCTGCATGGGAGAGAAACTGTTTGCTTCCGAGGGCTTAATCTCATTAATGTGCCACCCGGCGGGTGTGGGGGGTGGGGAGGGCTCTGGCTCTGGCAGGGAAAAGCTCCTGTCTCCCACCCTGCCTGGTACCAGGGCCACGGAGACTCTGGGGAGGGTTGAGGCTGTGGGGTCTGCTCAGCACAGCAGCCCCTGGCTGGGCACTGTGCCGTGCTGTGCTGTGCCACGCTGTGCCAAGCCCTGCAGCAGCTGGCCAAGACTGGGACCAGTGCCTGGCTGATGCCAGTGTCTTGGTGGGTCAGAAGGGTCCAGAAATCCCTGTGGCGCTCCGGGCACCAGTGAAGCAGGGAGTCCCCAGGCTCTGCCTGGTGTCACTCCAAGGCTCTCCAGGGCATCTGAGGCCACCAGTCCTGGCCACAGAGCAGGAACAGCCCTGGGCACCTGTGGACCATGGGCACCTGCTGCTGAGAGAGCCAGTCCCAGTGCAGGCAGTTCTCACCTCCTCTGCCCTCTGTGCCTGTGGGTGGTTGTCCAGGAAAGTCCCTTCCAGCACAGAGGCCACGATGGTGAGGCCCTTCCCAGCCTTGAGCTGCGATGTGAAGGACAGGAGCTGTGGATGCACCACATTCTGCTCCTGATCTCCACGGACCAGGACCAGCAGCTGCGGCCTGAAAGGAGGGTCATGCAGTCAGTGCCTGCACCCAGTTGGTCCCTGCCCCAGCACACCCAGATCCCCATCCCCTCACCCAGACTCACCTCCAGTTCTTGGTGTGGGGGGGGCCCTCCTCCAGCCGCAGCAGGGCATAGCGGGCCGCGCTCAGGGACAGCCCCCGGATCCCATCGCCCCACTCCTTCTCCGCCCTGCGGGAACCAGCAGCATGTAAGGGATCACCATGGCTCTAGCCACAGAGCACCACGCTGGCACCCCAGAGCATCCCGGGACGAGCTGAGCAGCCCATGTCAAGGGGGGCTGGCCAGAGTCTGCAGTGCCACAACCACCCTTACCCGCGGTACTCAATGTATTTGAAGGCCAGCAATCAGCATGGCCACCAGCGCGTAGTACCAGGAGCAGATGAACATCAATGCCAGGCAGAGGCTCATGCCCAGGAAGGACAAGGTCCTGCAGAAAGCACAGCACCATCAGCACGCCCTGGGGTCCCCAGCCTGGGGGGTCCCCGTCCCACCCCATCCACCCTGGCTCACCAGTGGTAGTAGCGGAAGCGCGGCCGCCAGTTGGGTGTCCGCAGCAGTGTCTGCACCGCACATGCCAGGTTAACGAACATGTAGCACATGAGGAAGAACCTGCAGGTGAGAGCACAGAGCTAAGTGGGTGCACTGTGAGGGACTGGGGCCGCAGCCAGGCCCTCTGCACCTCCCGGTCCTGGGATGGCCAGTGCTGGAGTGGGCCCTGCTGATGGACACGGGAGTGGGGCCGTGGAGCAGCAGGCCCCAACACTGGCCGGGAAGGAGATCTGGAGTCCCCCTTCTTCCCAGACAGGGGCCAGGGCAGCAGGTGCAT